ATAACATCGGACTTCACAGACCAAATTCTGTTTGATGGTAAAACGTGGCATCGTCCTCAGTGACCGTGAAAAAAATTCTACCAATCAAACAGCTGCATATCCACTTAAATGAGCGGCTGCCAATGTTGACTTCAGTCATAGTGTCCATAACTGCGTCATGTTACATTGTCGTAGGCGCATTTAAAATAACATACAACTGATCTTTCTCGACCCATTTCTTTACAGTGTGATCAAAAGCTTACCCTTCACAATGTTTGTAGTTGCTAGTTAATCCCAAAAGCACTTGGTTATTTCATGAGCAGTATTTTTCTACCTGAAAGGCTCTCACTAATGAACCTTTCCTCGAGCAACGCTGAGAATTGATAGCGATGTCACCAGCCCTTCTGGCGATGTGTGAAAGCTGTCATCGTTTTGCTTTCGCAAGAGTGCCTGTAACTATGCTTAACGAAATTTAGATTAAGCTTTTCAACAATATTTTTCAAAATAAGCTGTGACAGTGAGATGATGTGGCCCAATACATCTTCTCTGTATTTATACTGCACTTTGTGCACCTGCGCCCAAGGCTGCCTGCACCTGTGTCATGGGTGGCTTGTCCTGGTGTTGTTACTCTCTCGATACGCAAGCCAAGCCAAGTCACCGAAAATGTAACTATGCATATGCATGGCCGCGCCGAGTGGCACTGCATGTCGCTTCCGAGACGAGGTGTACGCAGCAAAATTATGTTGCTCCAAAATCTTAGCAACTTAGAAACTAGGCACACGGTTGCATGAGCAGGCTGAAAATTTGTTCAAGACGCCCTGACGAGGATGGGAGGAGAAGGTAGAAGGAAAGGCAGGAAGGTCAACTAGGTCAGTGTCCGGTTTGCTATCCTACATCAAGGGGGAAGGGAATTGAGGAATGAAAAGAGAGAGATAGAAAGAAGAGACCATAAAAACAAAACAGGCGAGCTTAAACTAGACTGCTGTGTAGCTTGACTGTAGTGGATGCAAATTTCAGGTGTATTACGTTCCAGCCGTAGGTAGTTGGTTCGTCGTGCCTACTGAAAGCTTGCAAGCACTGGACAGAGAATGTCCAGTACCTGTTGTACGGCCTCAGTGTGTGGCCATTTCAGCCTGCCGATGAAAACTTGAAGTGTGTCTAGCAGTGATTGAAGAACAATTAGTATAGGTCTGTCTTATGGCAAGGCCGACGTGCGATGTGAATTAGTATGTCGCTGCAACTTCGGTAACGGAAGCCAAACTGTGTCGGTTGTGTCCTTGTTGGTGTCGACCATCGCTGATCTATGTGACTGCGGCTTTGGCAATGTGATCATTACATCACCTGAAGGCCGTGCCACTTGCATACAACTAACGCAGGTCTATACGTACACTTTAAAGAAGTAATATAGTTTAATATAACAAAACAAACAATACTTCAATTGTAACAAAAATATTGTCAATCAGGTACAGCAATCAACGGTCTTGTGGTCGGGTAAATTGGATATTTTATCTTTCTGCCCCCAGATGCACCACAGGTCATTTTTCGAGACATCTACAGACCAATTACAGGAGACCTGCTAATGCGTCTTGTTTAGCCAATTCAGTTGCCCTAGAAAAAATATATAGGATATACGATGTCCCAGAATGGTCAACAATTGATGTGCTTGAAGGCATGCATACCTCATCGATGTTCTGTGACTATTTCACCAACACTGGATACAGCATTGCCACGCACCAAATAAAGCGAGTTTAAGTGAAAGTCGCTGATAGACAGAGTGCGGACTGCAGTGAGTAGAATTGAATGTTTGTGACTGAGCATCAATGGAAGCAAGGAGAAGAAAGTCGGTGATGGCAGGAGCACCATTTGGAAAAAGTACAAGCAACAATCGGTTACTGCGAGAGCATCGTCTAAAGCGAATACAAGGGTACATTGGCGACGGCGAGAGCACTGAACGAAGTGGAAGTGAAAGTCAGTAACGCATGAAAGAGCCACTCGAATGAGTAAAAGCAATAGTCTGCATCAGCAACAGCACCGACTGGAGTGCGACTACACGAAACATGGCGATTGTTGGAACACCGAATGAAGTGAGCAGAAGTAAAAGTCTGTGAGTTATAGTGAGCACGAGTTAGTGCCAGCGAGTCGACGTTATCATAAACAAGAGTGGCAGCAAACTGAAGAAACAATGAACTTGTTTGAGTTTAAAAAGTACTTAATTACTGAAATACGATGAAGAGAAAGCCTAGTTGGTGCTGCATTAGAAGAGCACACGTACTGTCCCTTCTTTTTACGCGTCTTTCTCATGCTGTTCGGTTTTTCTAACAAATAGTTCAGTTATAAGTTATGACTGTGAGGCCTTCCGCAGCTGGGAGTATGTGGACCGATTCTGGCCGCCTTGGAGTTCTTCGATGTGCACCTGAATCAAGGTACGCAGGAGCTGCTGCCCTTCACATCCGTCTAATACACACCCCATGGCCGGGAGTCGAACCAGCATCCTCGATCCTTGAAGCATGTTACCATATTCACCAATCTACCATGGCAGGAGACAAATGTAAGTAGGCATGACTATGAACATGAACAAGAGTGGAGGCTTGGAAGCATGTATACTTGGACTGTGAAATTACTTGCGAGCAAATACACACTTGTACAGGCAAACTAAGACACGTAGCATACAGCAGAGCAGGGCCGGGTGAACGGACAACAATAAAGCTAGAGAACACGCAGAAGCTCAGTTTAGTATAAATTAAGCGTGTTGCTTTCACTACTTCTTTACAAACTGTGCAGTGCACTGACATTGCTGTGCATGTGGCAACTCCCAAAACGAAGAAATCGTAATTTTTATGTTAAGGAGAAACCACACCGTTTTCAGACTAGAGCGATGCACCGTAGCTATTTTTGCGATCGGAAGTGAAGCTTCGCCACATGGGAGTGAAGACACAGGCCATGCGTTTTGATTGATTTTAGGTGACAACTCGTTCCAATACTCGTACAGTCGTGGACAGGCTACACTATTGTGCACTAAATATTATAAAGGCACTCTTTACATTTCCTTACATAGAAAATGATTTCCGCTTAAAAATATGAAAATATAAAGACATGAAAACAACGCTAGAAGTGCTGCATAACAGTGACCACGAGATGAGTCGTCCGGTACATCTCTGTAAGAGGCACGTGGTAATTGGAAATGGCTTTTGCAAGTCAGTGGGAGAGTGAAATGCCATAAAATGTTTCTCCTCCTCATTTACCGACGTTTTGAAAATGGAAGACTAGTAACTTCCATTACCATGTACCGATTTCCATTATTCTTTCTGCATTTATCTCTGTGTTCGGCACAACATGAATTCCAGTGCTGTAGAATGCAGACAAGAAAGTGCCACAGGGTACCCTTTGAGAGGAACCACTTTATGCAGTCCAGCTCTAGCTAACACACACCGATGACGACATCTACAAATGATTTGTCCAGGTGACGTGGAGGAGTTACCTACTGCCCTTACAGAGACATTATTAGTTATTTTTATAAAAGTAATATACACGGTTTTACATCCCAAAATCACGGTATGATTATGGGGGATGTCGTATTAAAGAGCACTGTAAATTCCGACCATCTGGGGTTCTTTTTATGGCCCCCAATACCAACTTTAGAAACTCGAGGTGCTTGAGTTGTTTGATAGCCCCTCAAGCAGGGCCACCACTGACCGATTTTGAGCGGCGAGCATAGCCTGGAAAATATCTTAATTGGTTTTTAAAGTAAAGGTGCATGCTGCTCCGAGTATTCTGGTACTATCAAGATTTTCTGTAGTTTCTTGCAGACCAGGAATCCCCTTGTGATGCTTCAGAAGTCAAAAACATTTGGAGAGTGCGCACAATACTCCGACTGGCACCCGTTGAGGAGTATTGTTCATCGCCCCTCTCGCTCTGTTGTCAGGCTACTACAAGGTGGTTTGGGCTGCTTAGGCAAGGAAATCTATTTTCTGAGAGGGACATGCTCAAAGCCCCCACATCGTTTCATTTTTCATCGCCCGCTGGTGATCCTATTTGAAAACAGCACGTTTCAGTGTCACCGAAGCTTCAGCACAAGTAGTCTCAAGCGCAGCTCTGCTGTGGGGCACCAGTTTCTCATGGCATTTAGGAAAGTGTTTCGTATAATGCGAAATCCATCTTGAATTAACGTTGCTAGGATTAATTATACGATGCATTAGAGCATTTACGATATAATATCTGCATTAACAGATGCAAAGCTACAAATTACTGTAAAAAACTCGCAAACAAAACTTGCGCTGTCGGAGGTTTTCAACATGGACTGACATTGCACTGTACATGTGCCCCTACCATTTCAACTCCACCGAAATGTGACCGCGCGTTCGAACCCGCAACCTTCGAGTCAGCAGCTAAGCCCCGTAACCACTGATACACTGTGGCAGACAGCTAGTTATTTGATGCATTACATTGCACCATATTTCACGCGATGGTTTGGTTACAAGAGTTATTTGCAGCTGATTTATGTAGTGTTCTTGGTATACGTTTTAGTGCCAGGTGCACATGTAAGGAAAAACACGTGCCACAAAGCGCCTACTTAAGCAACTTTTCTTACAATAAGCATTCGCATGAAGTTCAGTGCTGGCGTACGGCCTTTCATTTTCATGTCCTTTCACCTAAAGTGCGCTGCCATTCATTACGATGAGTCAGTCAGCCAACCTGTACATCTTAAGCTAAGAAACCTGCACTGTAGATTTCGAGAGACACTGCAGTTAATTGTTAAAAATTGTTTGGAACATGCATTCAAGAATGTCGGGTTCTCCATTAACTTAAAAGTAGATATTCCTTGAGCATATTAATGCAGCAACAGCAAAACTGTAGGCAAAGGGAAACAAAATGACGCAACTTCACAGTTTTGTCATCTTTTTCCTTCGTCATTCTCTGAGCGCTGTACACGTTACAGTTAAACCGTACCAAAAAGCTCGCTGCACCATTTTCTCAAAGCCGAAAGGTTCCCATGCAAATAACTGCAAAACAACAACGTGCCACAGGTCACCACCACACAATCACTTTCTTTTTTTTTTATTTTTGAAAGATGAAACTTTTGTATTATGGGTTGAAAAGCCCCGCATTTGCTTCTTTTGGGCAACTTTCTGTACAAGTTCAAGTTTGCATTTTTTTTTCTTCTGCATTGTCCTGCAACTTAACTTTCTTCACATTACTTTCATGGCAATTCATATTTTTTTTAGAGTTTGCACACATTCAAAACAATACAATATAGTGAAAAACAAAATAAGTGAAAAATAAAAAAGAGCACCTTAATCTATCCCAAGAGAATGGAAAAACACACACACACAAAAGATGACAGCAGGAATCGATAGAGGCCCTTCTTTTTTTCTTCCCCCTTTATCATTCACCATCAACAAAAAGAAACTGGCGACACACCACTCTCGTTTCGCAAATGCCGATGAGAAAATTCTCTGCAATCACTGCCGCGTGCGACGTCCCCAACCTGACTTGCCAGGTCATATTAGTTTTGTCATTGCCTGTTGTCTCTACAAAAGACCGCAAAGACTAAGCCATAGGTTCGTTTTACGCGATGGTGACTGCATTTTTGTATGTAACTTCACAGCCTCTCTCATACTCCACTGTATGTTGTGATGATGCTTTTTTTTTTCTTGCTGAAGTGATGGGGCAATGACTTTACAAGCAAAGTGAACACAATGACAATAAAGTTTTCCGCTCTAAGCTTCTCTCACCAGTTTCAGAGTCGAAGATGACGATCGCACATCAATAGCACGAAACCAAGCAGCACAAAGTGAAAAAAAAAGCAATGGTAGTAGTTGTAGGAAAGAAAGATGCAAGGGAAGATGACAAACTGAACCAAAATGACAAACAACACATAGCGTGATGCGACAACAAACAAGTGGCGTGAAACACCCACCACAAAACGAGTTGATAACTCTGGCGCACAGTCTGCCTGTCGAAACTGAGGCGCTTTCAGAAGGGATACGAACGAGATGGATTGTTTGTTGCGCTGTGGCTAAATCAACCAGGGCGCGCTGGCACGCAGCGATACACGCTTCCCTTTTAGCGATGAAAAAATTCATTAACAAAAAACTTACGACGCGGTTCACATGGCCACTTACAACGGCCACGCAATCCTGTATATCAAAGGAAGGCGACTGCTTAGACAAGGGGAGTCGCTAGGCAGGTGCTTTATTGGAGGGTGACGAGTCACCTAACGATCCCCTATGCAGTTTCCTCTCAAGCAGAAAATATGATGTCTGGAACACCAACCTTAAGTTACAAAGCTGTTGAGGGCATACGTCGTGCACTAGAGATACTCTTTGATTTATACAATTTAAAGCCAATTTTCTCTTTGAAGGTCCGACTACGCACTTGTCTCACCTGTGCTAATGTCTCCAACAAAACCCGTCCCTCCCCACAGATTTAGACGCTGAACTATTTAGCTAATTTATTGCAGCCCATTGCAACTACCTAATGCACCCATTACAACATGGAAAATGAAACCTTAAAGTGTCGCCTGATCACTAGCGTTCATTCTAAATGCGTCGCTGCTTGCGACTGTGCACAACTGCCGCTTTACACGGTGCTCCCCCCCCCCCCCCCCCCATCAGTAAGTTTTCGACAAGTGCCACTGCGACTGCCCGGATTGTGACCGGACTTTTTCAAGAGCTTCCTACGCCGCATTAAGAGTGCAAACGCAGTTTCGGCCCGCAAGAAACCGACGGCGCTGCAGGCCCCAAATCCATAACATTTCTACAAGTTAACGCTGCAGAACGAGGCAGCGGCGATTGTTCCCTCACAAGAAGAATCATAAGCCTAGATAGACAAAAGCCCACCTGCACTTAACAAACCACACAAATGTGCAACACTTCCGAGCGGTGCCACTGGAGAGACAAGTGTGTTCCGGGTGGTACGTTTGGCGGGAAGAGGGTGCTTTTTACCAACTGACAGAATAAAGGAACGGCCGGTCAAAAAAGGGGGGGGGGGGGGGGTAACGAAGCAAATAGACAGAAAATGGGGGGGGTAGTAGAACAAGCACACTGCACGGCCCAATCTCTAAACCTGTGTATCCTAGTAGGGATAGAACCACGACGCCCTACGCGGTCGGTAGGCGCGTCGCGGAAAGCGGTAACCACCGCCGCCACCGCCTCCGTAGTACGTTCCGCGTCCGGGCCTGCGGAAACGACCACGCGGCGGCCTGTTAGTCGTGCTGATTCCCGGTCGGTTGGTGCGCTTGGTCATCACCTTGATCTGCCGGCCGCGGAACAGGGATTCATCAAGGGCCATGGCCGTCTGTATCGAGTCCTTGTCCGTGAATTCGATGTAGGCGAACCCTTTCGGGTGGCCCGAGAACTTGTCGCACAGGATGGTGACCCGGTTGATGGAGCCGCAACCGTGGAAGTGCTGCTCCAGTTCCTCGGCCGTCGCGCCGTAGTCGACGTTGCCGACGTAGATGGAGCGAGCGTCAACCTCGATCTTCTCTTCGAGCGTTAGGCCTAGCGAGCCGCCGCCGGCCGGGCTGATGCTCATCTGTTTTTCGACCTCGCTCTGCATCTGCTTGAGCTTCTCGGCCTCTTCCTCCATCTCGCGAACGCGAGCCTTGATCGCTTCTAGCTCAGGGTCGTCGAGGCTGTGCTCGTCGCCCAGGGTTTCGTCCAACAACTCACCGCCAGTCGAGTCGTGCTGAGGATCGCCGTTTTCTTGCGCCTCCGAGTCACCGTTCTCCAATGGATTGTCGGCCATGCTTGCGCGAAGTGTCTTTTTTTGTTGACTTCTGTTCCTTTCCGGGAGCACAATTAAAAACACACGTTCGCTGACTTCACGGGTGCTTCTTCGTTGGCGTCGCGCAGGCGTTCACTACTGCAGTTCACATGAAACACGTTTTTTATATTACTTTTTTTAGACGCTGTCCACGATCACACTCCAAATGCAACACAACCTTTGTCTTGTTGGTGGCAGAAAAAGCTTGTAGCGATGGCGATGCGGCTTTCCCGGCGTTTACCGCTCTTTTTTTTTCTTCGTCTGTGCAGCGCGGTTCTGCTTTTCTAAATTGCTACACAGTTTCTGTCGGGTAATCTTGAAAGTGTTACCATAATAAAGAGATAACTAGAAGCAAACTTGTTATTCAGAAAACGTTTAAAAACTCTGCACAAACTTTACTTTATGTTTTTTTTTTCACGCTTACGCTGGCTTGTTTTCACAAAGCCCACAGGAAAACTCATTGGCGAGTGCGTTTACAATACTCTTGGGCTTTAAATCTTTGTAATTTATTTATGTGAACACTGAATGATTCGAAAATTTCTGAACTAATCTAAAAAGACGCATAATATCATTGCACTGCTTGCCATACTTACCGATTGCAGCGCCACAAGCACAGAGTGGTTACGGTTTTACACCCAACGCTCGCAGGTGTTCTCTACGCGCAGCACAGCACTACTATTTATTTCATTCCACCGGTTGCAATCGAGGGGATTTCGGGATGTGGACTATGTGAACGCTGTGCAGTGCTGCATTGTTTGGCGTATGACTGCAACACGGCGCGTCAACTCGTGCCTGGAACCGCTCGTTACACCCCTAGAAGGCTTCATGGAGAATCGGCCTGCAAGTACAAGTCGACGCTGAACGAAGGGTGAGTAGCTGTGACTCTCACGTCTAGGAATATGTAGCTGGATGTAGTATGAGAACAGCTGACTTGATTCATTTTCGGAACGTACCCGAGTTTGCGTGTATTCTGGCGTAAGCGTCAAGTAATGTTACCTTAGAGGACACCTTATATGTTTGTTCTTTCTGTCGTTCTTAACATAAAACGTTGCGGCGCACCAGCTTGCCACCGCGTGTCAGTGAAGGATCCGTCGATGCGCCAATCTTTAAAAACGAGAAGTGTTTTTCACTTCATGTTTTCATGTTATTAATGAGTCCAGGCCGGATAGTCGCTCTAGACTCAACATCGCGTTGTTTTAACCCGTTATTATGTAAACACGAGCAACGATTTCAGCACTCAATTGAAACCTTGTGCTGATACGAGGCGGATAGGTCCAAATGAACAGATTGCTCTGCCTTGCCGCGTGCTTTTCTGCATCGTTCGTGATATCATGATACACTTAGTATTTTTGAAACTGTTTTATATCATCACACACGCTTCCGAGAGCAATGTCTTATACCGCTTGGCGTTGACGCAATCGGTTTCATTTACAACGCGATCGTACAAGCCGTGCGTCTGAGTAACGTTGTTTGTTTAATTTTTCTCGAAAGCGCGTTCTACCCCTCTTCAGCTCAGTCGTACACGCGTGTGATTGATTGACTTCCCCTACCAACTGCGCAGCAGGGATTTAAGGGTTATCGTTGATTTGTTCTACCAGCCCTCAACTTTCTGCTGCTCCTGACTATCTACTTTCGTGCAGTGCAAATACGCTGTGGATGACCTTGTGGCAATCATCTCGTCGGTAATAGCCGTTCGCATCTTCATTTCACTCATACATTACGCGTCGAGGAAATGAATGGTAATCATGGAAAATTGCCGTACGTAGTCGGGTCGTCGTTAAGTAAAACTTTCCATTTGGCAACCTCGTAGGGATGTTCCTGGTACGTCAGTAAATGCTATGTCAGCGTGCATGTTATAATCGTGAAATTTATATCATGCCGTACGGCTCTGTCGCCCTGTACTATTATTCCAGTGATACGTGTTCGGAGCAGTTATCGTCGTGAAACTGCGGGAGTTCCGTGATCAGGTCATGAAGAAAATATACTAAATAATTGTAGGCAATATTTAGCTCCTAAAACCCCAATATGATTATGAAGGGCGCCGTAGTGGAGAGTTCCGCAGGTTTTGATCATCTGGTGTTTTTAACGCGCACTAACATCTAAATAATTGTACATACCCGGGCGTCTACCACTTCGCCTTCGTCGAAATGCAGTCGGGACTCGAACCCGCAACCTTCTGGTCAGCATTCGAGCTCCCTAACCAGACCACCGTGGCGGGTAATGTAAAGCTTAAGTACATAATCGTTAAGTATATCCGATAACGTTGGCTGAACATCCTTGAAGTTAATTTAGCTCAGGCAGTTTTTCCACAGTGTGTACGCAGCAGCTGTGCGGTGCGAGACCCTGCTTTGTTTTTTTTTTTTTCTCTTATTTCCCCACTACACATCTGTGTGGACGCTCGGTCGGTGGAATTATTGAAACTGTAGTTTTCATCTTCAGTTGATGCCTGTCAGTTCGGAGCGTATGATTTCCACGGCCAGCGAATGACAACGATAAAAAGAAAAAAAAAACACGAAAAAGACATTCGGAGCTGCGCTGACATGAAAAGGATGTGAAGAAGTTCCTCGCCACGCTTCTTTAAGGCACGGGTATCTGCACTGCTGTGCAAACAAGTACACATTGTAATACAAAGTGGCCTGCGCTCCGCTACCCTTTATTACTTTCTTATTTTTGCTATCATTTTGACTGTTCGTGACTACTGCCGCCAGATGGCTTCCTCACGCTTTTACCTAGTTTTCTGTTGTCTTATGTTTTTGCCTTTGCCAGATCTAACCCCGCTCCCCCTTTCTCTCAAGACAGGGGCGCCGAGTGATGTGTGATCTAGCACACGACAAAAATATAAAAAAAAACATGGAAACTGCATTTGTCTTTTTTCTTTGCTTTTACTCGCTCGCTGATAGAAACGCTGCCTTCGAGGTGTTATTTTTTGTGCTTCTAATGGCGCTTCGTGAATCACGTTTGCTCAAAAAAAAAAAAAAAAAAACCCACAGTGCTCCACTTACTTGTACGCTGTTTGCTTTGCATTTGTACCGAGTTGTCACAGTCACATAGCTTCGAGGCTCGCTTGGTTTTTCGGTTAACCTCGTGGATGTGGGGTTTCGATGACGCGATGGTTGGTGCGCAGCGTGGATGATGGTGTGCAGAGGATACTCGAGATTGTGGTAACTCTCCGCAAAGTGACCGTGAGCTCCATGCGTCGCGACCGGCCTTGGACGCGGCTGAGTGGCTGCTGCGGAAGGCTTTCCGGAAAGTTTTCATTGAAACTCGCTACTTCGGAGTGATGCGAGTAACTGTGTGATTCAGTGACCTCCGCGGCGTAGCGGCTTCTTCGAGGTAAAAGGATAACAAATTAAAAATATTAATAATTCTCTTAGGGGGTAAACCACCGCTGCAGCTTTTGGCGCGCTGAGCTGCCAATCCCGAGTGCGCGGGTTCGAATCCCTCCAATGTCGGTGGCATTTAGATGAGTGCGAAATGAAAAACAAAATAATAGTAATAAATTGCGTGTTCTTATGCGCACGTTAAAAAGCCCAAGTTGTCAAAATTTATTGTTTACCTCTTCCCCACTTTGGCGTACTCGTAATCGTAACATACAATAAAAAAAAAGGGGGGGGGGACACTGCTTTTTTGACCTATCTACAATTTAAACATTGCTCCGAAACAAAGAAAAGAATTGTTTCATTAACCATTGTACCCTATGAATTCTCACGCGTGCAGTAACGCGAAGTGAGAACGTATAAATACAAAAAAAAGTTACAAATATTTCACTGGTGTGCTCTGCCTCCCGTCTAAAATGGCTATACACGCAGAAAAAATACGGAATGGTCATCATTTCTTATTTAAAAAAACTTAGACGCAATCGGGGGACTACGTTCATTAGCGATAGGATACGGGCGATTTGGCTCGCTAGAGCCGTTGCTTCAATGCCAAGAAAAGCTTTCCGCGACTCGCTTTCTGTCATGTCCGGCTGGGCGTATATATACGCCCAGCCGGATAAAGCGACAAGTACGCGCTTGTCGCTTTATTCGCGCTAATTTATGCTCCCGTTGTTAATTCGTCGTGGCAAAGTTCCGCTGTATCGCGCTTTTTTTTTTTTTTTGTTCGGCTGCGTACACTTCATGCCACTCCTGAACGTTGCGTGTCACTGCGCGCGAACGTTTAAATGCCTTGTCACAAGTTGTCCATCCGTCGTCGTGGATCTTAACGAAACTGGCAAAGGCCTCGGAGGTATGGGTGGTGGGCGCAGTGTATACAGTCTCGTTGTCACTTGTCTATAGCGCCAAGGCGAAGGGCGAGGAATAGTAGGAAGTCCAGGTGTTCGTGAAGGTGAAAGCATTGCTTATCTTTCGAAGCATCCGCCGATGTTGTCAGCACGAATAGTTTGCCTGCCTATGATTGGGAGTACAAGCGGAAGTAAAATTACGGTGTTAGAAGTGTTTTTTTTTTTTTCTGGCCAGGCGGTACATTATGCGAAAGAAAGGGTTCGAGTGCGAGCACACGGAAGAGAGTAACCCGCAAGGCAGGAATGGTCCTGTCAACCTTGTGTGTTACTTCTTTTCTCTCATGCTCGCTTTTGCAACTTGCTGACACCGTTCCCTTCGCATATATAGTGAATCCACGTGCATTAAAGTGATTTGATTGCTGGGGGTTTAACGTGCCAAAACCACCGTACGATTATGAGAGGCGCCGTAGTGGAGGGCTCCGGATATTTCGATCACCTGGGGTTCTTTAACGTGCACCCAAATCTGAGCACACGGGCCTACAGCATTTTCGTCGTGCATCGAAGTGAATCGACATTGAACATTAAATGTAAAGAAATATGAAAGTTTATCAACGTCTCTGAAGTTAAGTGTGTATCAAAAAATGAAGGGATTTACTTGAGTGCAAATCAACAAGGAATCCAGAAGCATTGGGTATATCGTAGAAGTGGAGGGGGCAGGAGGAGCTATTCTATCGCTGGTTTTAGGGTCGCAGAGGGTATTCGCATTGTCACGGCCTATAGGTGACGCGCCGTGCAATTCAAGATTAGAGATACTTTAGAAAGGAGCATATACAGTAACTATATCCAAGATGACAGTGGGAGGATGATCAACCTGTGAACTCGCATCGAAATTGATAAGGCGCACGGACGTACGCCCCTGGCCGCTTTCACCGGATTTTATTTATTTATGCTTTAATGATTACCCCGCTTGGCCCGAAGGCGCTATAGCAGGGT